AAGACTGAAACAAATATATTAGAAATTTGCCAAGTAATTCCATTGTGTCATTCGACATAGATTTTCATTTTTCTTTTCTTTCTCTCTACTATCTCTTTTGACTTTATATCGTGCTGTTAGGATGAAACCCCAACTCAAAGGTGCTGAGAGAGAGAAGAAAAATCAAGGAAAGAGTAGTTTGGGGATTTAGGTGGACTTGATGGAAGAAAGGTTAAATAAGAAAAAAAGGAAAATTAAAAAAAATTCTAGCTCAATGACCAATATGGGTTTGAAAACCAAAAGTGCAAGAATTATTTAAAAACAAAATGAAGAAATAGGGCATGTAAAAATTTGGACTGACTAGATATAAATTGCACTGTTTCTTTGCACTAAAGATAACTAAATGAACTTAGACTAATGAACAGTGCTCTCTAGTCTAACTTCTTCAATGTGCAAAAGACAGCAAAACAAATTAGGGCAATTATGGTGGTGCAGTTCATTAAGATGCTTCCAGCATTCTTTCATTCAGTCTGTAAATATTGTTAATTATTCAAGGTGCTGGTGGTGCCATCTAAAGATGTGTGACGGATCTACACAGCCCTTGTGTGGTTTGAATATCACCATTTTTGTGGTTGAAATGTCTACCAATTCAGTCATGTTTCCCTGCACTGGGTGGGGTGGGGGGCCCTTGTTTTCTTTTTATCCGTTTATTACTGGATGGTTCCTCTAATTTTTAGAAGAGAGCACACTGCCCTTCTACGTTTACTTATTCCATTCTCTCTTCTTCCATTCTTCCCCTTGATATACTTTTAAGGTATTCCAATGGACCAGGAATCAGGAGACTAGGAAATTGCTACCAATGATTTTATCCCAATATCTCAAGTTTCTCTTCTGTCAGACAGTACTAACGGTATTTGTTCAACCTGACAAGGTTGCTTGAGGCTAAAATGAGTTTATAAATGTTGAGTGCTTTAAATAAAGAACATTTTACAAATAATTCTCTCTTGAAGACACTATTCTCAAAACTTTCACGTATGTAAGAATCACTTGGAATGCTTGTTAAAAATGCAGACTTATGGCTGATTCCATAAACTTTGAATTTGGCTCAAAAAATGGAGATACACAGGCTGATTCAGAAGGTCATGGGTGACAGCCAAGTAAACTGCATTTTAAACCAGCATACCAGGTTAATCCTATGTAGTAGGGAAAAAAAGAAGTATTACTAACAACCAGAAACAGTTAAAGAAAACCTACATCACTCCTCAGTCTTTTTTTTTTTTTTTAATCCTTTCCCTCTCTGATGCAACCGATGTGCAGTCTTTCCTCCCTTTCCCCACCCCATCTTCCTTTGTGTCTGGCATTGGCATTTTCTTAGCATAGTTAGAGAGGGACACAGTTTTATGTGCAGAAATGGACTGGAGGAAAAGGAGGAGGGATGTGGGTGGAGAAAGGCTAGATCAGTGTTTAGCTATTCAAACTGTGAAAACTGTTTGTTGTCAGGCTGGTTCTAGCCGGCTGGCTTGAGGGAAGGAAGCAGTGGGGAGAGCTAGATCTACTGCAGCTGCCCATACTGTCCCTTATTTGCTAGTGTAGGTTTTGATATGACACTCACTGCCTTATCTCCAGCCACATGAATTTATAAAAATCACATTAGATACCCTATAAAGAATACTATTCTACGTACTGATAACAATCCTGAATTCATTCTTGTTTATAATTCTCCTCTTTACCACTTTGAGGCCTTTAGTTTTGATCAAATTCCAGCTTCTTTCCTTGTCTTTAAATCCAGGAGAAAAAGATTTGCATCAGATGGTGTGTATAATGGGTGAGTTATGCTTTTCTGGCTGATGTATATATCCACTAAGGTGACACAAGGAGAATCAGAGACACGGGATTGGTTGGACCTGGGCAGCTTTATGGGGGAGATTTTGTTTTCATTGAACCCTCACTTGTATGTGGTTTCTCCCCTAGTATTTTCATATTGTCTACAAATGAACTTTAAAAATGCTTCTTGCTGCAAATCTAGCTATTATATTCTAACCAGCTAATCTGTTTAATCTGTTTAACATGTACATTTCAATACTGTCATATATAGTTAATTATTCTAACATCTCTCATCTAAATCTTGGTCTTCAGCTTGGCTGCACATTAAAATTTCCTGGAGATCTTTAAAAAAATATTGATACCTGGATCCCAATTCCAGATAGTCTGATTTGATCAGTTTTAAAAAGCTCTCCATTGATTCGAATGTGTCTAGGAATAAGAGCAAAAATCTGGAGTGTTTTTAGGCACAGTATGCACTTCATTGCAAAGATATTACCATATGGATGGTCTCACACAAATAGGGACATACAATAAATATTTATAACTCTTTGTTCTATTAGGAATTGGCAATATTTATTGAGCACTTACTATGTAGGACATTATATGTGAATTGCCTCATTAATCTTTGTAACTTAATGAAGTAGTTAATCTCCATTTTGTTGATGAGAAAACAGGCTTATAGAGGTTAAGCAACAATCCCATGCTACTGGCAAATAAAGCTGGGATTTTATCTGACTCCAGAGATGCTAGGTTACTTATAATAGGTCTTCTGAAGAGATTCAACTGATCCCAGAAAGTCCTGAAGAATATTAATTTACTGGTTAAAAATGAGTGGTGCATGATTATATCAAGACAAGCTACTTAAAATACTTTTGAGCATACATTGCTACCCAAAGGAGATGTGAGTCCATACTTACCTAAACATATCAACTATCAAAGCACAAAGATTACAATTGAGTGTAAGAAACTGAGTCTCTGGACCTTGCTTTTTCCCATTATGCTAAAAATAATTTCGGTTTCCTCATTACTTCACACAAAAACATGAAGTAGGAATTTGATCGTTATTTGTGTAAATGTTATATAATAATAGTAATCTAAGCAATATCATTGGCTTTTTAAAAAAAATATAGTTTTCTGACTAGTTTAAGTGAAAAATGTTGTTGTACACATTATAAATTTTTTAGTGACAGTACATTGAATGACAGCGTTTTTTAAAAGGCAAGTGGCCAGTGGGTTAATAATCCCTATCTGTAGTTTCGCCAATACCATCCGCTTTTTCTGGACAGTGCATGGTTACCATGAATTGAGTTCCTTAACCAGGGGCATTGAAGGATAGACTAGGTGTTATTGGTCCTCTGCTGGGCACGGTCATGCAACCTTTTTCTTGTGTCAATTTCCCTATGTATCTTTTGCCAGATTCTCATAGTGTTAATATTTCTGTGATCAAGCTTGCCTGGATTGCAAAATGCTTTTCTTCTTTGTCTTTAGTTTGGAAATACTGTACTTTATGTTCTAGGAGACGCCATACCAGAGTGAAAGTAAATTGAAACATTTGTTTTATAAACTTTCCCCCCTTTCTTCTGAAGGTAATATATCATATGGCACATGTGTTCCTCTAAACATGACCTTTGTGAAAATAGTTCACTATCGTAGGTTATTCTCAGTGGCATAACATATAATTAGAGCAGTGAACACAGAAATGGTACTTGCTTTGTGCCAGGCATTAAGTTTCATAAACTCTAATTCATATACTCCTTGAAAGTAGGTAACTATTTCTATGGTCTTTATAAAATATGTTTATAGTTAACTTTTATAGTTAGGCAGATTAAGATTCGGAGAAGTTAATTCAGAAGATGACATATATAAGTGGAACTAGAAATCCGATCCAGTCCAGAAAAAGCAGACCCAAAGGATTGGGAAAGGAGCACTGAAAAGAATTTGTAGGCTGAGGCGACTGTGAAGGGAGATGTGACACGCAAAAAGGCAAACTGGTTAGGACATGATGTTATCTCACGTCTGGGCTTTCTGGTGGTAATAAATGACTCGGGTTATTTGGTAATGATCTTCCACGTGAAGTAGCCCCGTGATGGGAGTTGCCTTTGGTTTTATTCTTCATGATCTAGAAAAATTTAAGAGTGGTTATGTAGTTGAACATATTCATATACTTAGCCTTCTTTGGACTATAATTTTTTTACATATAGAGTTTTGGAATTTACACATGCTCTTAAATATGGAATTTCATTTTATTCTCACAGCAACCTTGGAATATTCTCTTTTCAAGGCTTGGACGAAGTAACTAATCTGCCCAAGGTTTACACTGGTTTCTAAGTGTTAGAGCTGGCTGTACCAACCACACTACCCTCTATCTTTAAAAACTATCTTGAAAGCTTCGAGAATATAAAAATTTGCCTCACGGTATACAGAAGCATTGTCTATACTTCGTACCATGGACAAGGACCTTATTGGTAGTAGTAATCTTTGTCCCCAAATCTTTGCCTCCCGGACTCCAGGCGGAGGCCGTCCAAAAGGCTGCGCGGGAGGTGGGCTGGTCTGGGCGGGAGGCAGAGGCGCGGACACTGCGTCCAAGCGGCTCGGTGGGCTCGCGTCAGGGTTCAAAGTGTGGATGAATGCGGCCCGAGGAGGGAATGTGAGGGAGGGGAAGGTGTGCAACGGAAAGGATTCATCTCGCGGTTTCGAGACGGAAACAAACCTCGCACCCCCACCCGTTTCCCTTCCTCCGTGAGGACGGTTTGGAAGCGGGTGGAGAAAGCGCGTCCTCGAAGCGCTCTCGCGCTCCCGATTCCCTCCCAGCGCGCGCGCGCTCCATCGCCTCGCCGCAACCCGAGAGGTCGGCGATGGCCGCCGGCGGGGACCGGGAGCCTAGAGGGCGGGTCCCGTTGCAGATGTTAGAGCCACTCTGCGGGGGCCTGCTGGCTGACGGAGCCCCTCGCCCCA